GTAAATACACGTAACTAAACGGGAGCCTTTAATCGATCTATTTCACTGCTGTCCTTTATGGCTGCTCTGATATGCACATTTGTATAGTGATAAGCTTCGTGGATTTTGGGCTCCTGTAGACACTGACTCGGCCTCAGCTTTGCTTTATCAATTTTGAATTTACGCTTTACTTCCGACGTAAGGCTGCTTACGGTCCTTTTGATGCGCATTGTACTAGACTTCATTCTCGAACCTGATAGTTCTAGATGCAAGCTTTCTTGAGGTTAAGTGGCCACAAGATGTGCAGTACAATATTTTTGGTCCTTCCTGATTACTCTGGTGCTTTGCCACCGAATTGGAGGCTCGCTTGGTTTAATCGAAATTGGCTTTTAATTCGATTCCAACCAGTTTCCCAAGAAATGACATCAGTCGACTTTTCCCAACTCCGCCATGGACGGTCCCAAGCCCGTCTGGGAAAGGAGGAGGGTTGGCCCGCTACCGACGGGCTGTAAAACTAGGTAAGAAACCATGGAGTGTCATTATAGCAATAACGACAAAGCTACCGCATCCGGGGGAGCCGATGCGCCAATACCGAGGAGCCAGGGTATTGGTGGAAAGACATTGACTGGCCAAAAAAAGGAAATCCCACGACTCCTTACACCTAAGTCGAAACTGCGACTTGGATCGTGGAACGTGCGGACCGCCTTTCACTGCGGTCAGAAAGAAATCATCGCAAGGGAGTTGAGCAAGTGCCGGGTTACTGTTGCAGCTTTATCCGAACTGAGGATCAGCGGCTGTGGAACGACAAGAGTGCAGGTTCCTGCTACGGACGATTGGATGACACTGTACTACTCTGGCGGTCAAGAACATCGTGATGGTGTTGGGTTCATGCTCAATAGCCACGCATCAAAATGCGTCGTGTCGTTTCAACCCATCTCGCCGAGAATAGCAGTGATCACTTTGGGCGGAACCGTCAAGTCGCACATAGTGAGCGTATACGCTCCGACGGAACCGAGCGACGACGGTATGAAGGACGAATTCTATATGCAGCTCCAAGACGTGCTGGACAGCATTCCCAGAAGAGATCTCGTTTTATCGTCACAGGCGATCTGAACGCTAGAACTGGCGCCGACAGAACGGAATGGGGAACATGTGATGGGTTCCGATTTTGGCAGTACGCGAGAAATGAAAACGAATGGTTTCGCGGCTGCTTTCGTTTTTGCTTCTTAAGTTTCAAATGAGATGGTCCTCGCGGCAATAGCAGTATACTAGCATGCACGTAAGCACAGCTGACATGGAGGGAAATACATAGCTGGTCACGAACTTTCAGCATCCTGGAGGTGTATGTTACTATAATTCTCGTACAGGTCTCGCTATAAGGGTTATGTGAGTTTTATTTTTTGGGCGCAAAAAAAATGAGAAGGCCCGGATTGCGGATCAGATCACTACCTACTACGAGCAGTCGTGCAGCTCCGCCTACAGTGTGCTAAGCGAGGTAAACGCCAACCGAAAGTAGACTGGGAGCAACTTTTGAAGCTGGAGGTGAAGCAAGGCTTCCAAATTGCACTGTCAAATCAGTTTGCTGCGTTCACGGAAGTGGGAACGGTGGACGAGGAAGAACGGCAGACTGCAAAAGTCATTACCGAATGTGCTACACAACTGTGCCAGTTTTGCGCCGACGGACTAAACCATGGATCTCGGACGAAACATTGCAGTTGGTTGACAAAAGGAGGAAGGTGAAGCTGACGAATGGCACTACGTATCAGCTACTCAGTAAGGAGCTCCGCAAGAGACTAAAAACAGAAAGGGAGGCCTACTGGAACGCAGTAGCGGAGGAGCTCGAAGAATCGGCATCCAAACACGAGTATCGCATGCCGTATCAAATTCTGAGAAGACTGTGCGGCAAAACCAGAGCATGCGGAACCTTCATCAAAGACGCAAGTGGCAAACTCGTGAAGTCAGAGAGGGAACGCTTACAGAGAGATGGAGAGAGTTCTTCATATAGAGCTGTACAGCCACGAACTGCCCACAGAACCGTTTCCAGAGCCAGTACCGATAGAGATGCCACAGGAACCAACACACGAGGCGGCGCCAAGTATGGAGGAAGTGAGGGCGGCGCGGTGATGTCGCTGAAGAACAGGAAAGCGGCTGGTGTAGACAATGTCACAGCAGAAGCGATTAAGGCAGGAGGAGAAGTATTGGTACAACGGCTCCACCGTCTTATGTGTCGCGTCTGGCAGACGGAGGTTGTTCCTACGACGTGGAAACGCTCCATCATCGTGCCAATACACAAGAAAGGCGACATAACGGAATGCAAGAACTATCGCGGCATATCACTCCTGTCAGTCGTCGGGAAGGTTTTCACAAAGATCATCAACGCAAGACTTCAGCTTCATCGAAGAAGCTTATGCCGACCGGAGCAAGCGGGTTTTTGCCCTGGCCGTGGGTGCAGTGACCAGATCTTCGCGCTGAGGCAACTACTGGAAGAACGTATTCGTTGCGGCAAAAGGGTTGTGGTTGTTTTCATAGATTTCAGAGCTGCATTCGATAGCGTCCACTGGCCAGCGCTATGGAAAGCCCTAGAGTGTGAACATGTTCCGGACAAAATTGTGAGGCTGTTGCGGGAGGCGTACAATGGAACTGTCAGCTGTATCCGCGTCAAGGATGACGTCTCTGAAGAATTTCCTGTAAGTGCTGGTGTTCGTCAGGGTGACGTGATCTCCCCTACGTTGTTCAACGTGGTAATGGACGCTGTCATGAGGAAAACTTTCAACGGAAGGCAAGGCGTGCAGTACGGTGAAGGCGGCTTTCTCACTGACCTGATGTTTGCCGACGACAGCGCAATTTTCGCCGAAACTGACGAGGAAGCGACTAACATCATGTGCTCACTGTCAGAGATTGCCCAGTCGTATGGCCTCAAAATAAACGCGGAAAAGACCAAGGTGATGACCTCGGATGGATCGCCCGCGTCCGTGCGACTGGGTAGCGTCGCCTTGGAGCAAGTGAGTAATTTCAAGTACCTTGGATCGGTCGTTCAAGAAAGGAAAGTGGTTGCCGAGGCTGAGGTCCGCAGCAGGATTGGTCATGCGTCTAAGACATTTGCAGCGTTAAAGTGGTGTCTCTGGAAGAAGAGTAACATATCACTGAAAACCAAAATTCGCATGTTCCGGACGCTGGTGCTCCCTGTGCTACTATATGGGTCTGAGACATGGACGTTGCTCAAGTCGGATCTCTCTCATCTCGAGGTGTTTCAAATGCGTTTGTCTCCGCCATATGCTCGGGATCAGGCTTCGTGACCATGTCACGAACAACGCCATCAGGGAGAAGTTTGAAGATCAACCCACAATCGAGGAACAATTGAAACTGCGACGGCTACGATGGTTCGGTCACCTGTGCAGGATGGGTCACGACAGAATACCTAATATGCTCCTGTGGAGAAGACGCCCTGCGCAGTGGAAAGTTCAGAGGACGGCTCCAAAAAAGACTTGGTTGAAGCAAGTTGAGGAAGACCTTAGGGCTCTGAGGTGCAGTGTTGAGCATGCTAGATGTATTGCTGCTAATCGACCAGAATGGAGACACTTCATTCAGGGCGTTCGTACTCCAATGGCACCCACAGCAGTGTACTGGTTGAGAGGCCGGCCCCCACCACCAGACGCAAGCTAAGGGATAAGTAAGTAAGTAAGTAAGTACATACACTTACCGAGAATATGCAGGAGTCAAAACAATATTTTTTTTTTCCAAAAGGTGAGAGATCGTTACCTTTAAGTACTCGATCGCTTTCAAACCTTCCTTATGTTTACCATTTACACATCAGTGCTTGCCGAACGAACAGGAAATATATAGTATTAATATAATAACATAATTCCGATGGCAAAGGTGATCCTTCATCCGTCATTCCAGCAGTGTTTCTGAAGCCACGCCTTAGAATAAGCAAACTGACCACGTCAGCATTGTGTTTCAAAACCCTTCAAAATAGTAGTTCCATCCTCCTTATGGATATACACCAGTTTCGAAGTTGCTGTATATGTAGCACAAGCAGTGCTCACAAAATACTGAATCCCTATGACAGCCCATACGTTTCTTCGACTCCATAGCTGAAGGCGAAAAATTGAAATATTTGTATTTCTCTAGAGCGAGAGCCTAACAAATTGCATCAAGAAATCACTTCCTTGTAATGATAATGGACATTGACGGGTTCGAAAGTACTCCGGCTGGCTAACTCAGAAAAGTAACTATATAATGTTGCTAAACAGCTGACCTTGTCATATTTATGCATGAGACAGAGAGCAGTATATCGATTGACGGTCATGAACATATTTCCAAGCATATGTGCAATGAAGCTTAAACTGCTGACTGATGCGAGATATAACACGACATACTGAAACTCCTCGCCTAGACCAAGTTCACGGTTTAGTCGAAGAAGGACATTTGAGAGAAGAGATGCAACATCTGCCATACCTAAGCAAAAACGACGGTACTGCGGAAAAACCATGCACTGTAGCAGTGAAATGAATTGATATTGGTGAGATCCAATCAAACTTTTTTCACTAGTACGAACAATGATCTCAAAGAGAGCTTCCACGTCCTTTACCGATTTCTAATGAAAAGGCTTCAACGTCATGAACGTTAGCCATTCATTACTTGACAGATAGCTTTTCTTGGATCGATTCAGTGATAGTAACATTCCACCAGAAAAACACCGACGCTTTCAGACCAAACAACGATGGATGAAAGCACAAAGAATTGCAAGAATTGATCTACAGTCCTAATATATATTCCTGGTGAAAGAATGGATTTCATTTTCAAGCTTTTCAGCCACTCAACTCTCGCTATAAAGCACTGGTTGTTTATTGATTGCTGTTTATTTGAAACGTTGTGCGTTGTGAAATGTTGAAACTCGACTCTAATTGTTAAAAGTCTGGTAGAAAGTGAAGTTCACTGGATCCACAACAATTCTCCTATTCAGGCGCTTGAGAACCCGGAGATTGAAGAAGCTTTCACTCCAATAGCACTAAGAGATGTGAATTTTGACCCTGCACAACAGGTTAAGCTATGACGCTTTATACCAGTTTTAGGCGTGGTCTTACGTTGTGTCAAAACATTGTGTTGAGTTCAGTTGGTTCCCATCATACCAGCTTTCAACAAATCCGTGGAAGTTTGAGGTTTAATTTTACATATTCATGAGAGTGGACCAAAATAAAGGAAAAACGTGATTATTGTTCGATGTTTGGAAGCGTGGTCTCTTAAGGATCTCTTAGTGCGTACTCTCTCGAAAGGGCCTATATGTGGTACTGTAGTCCTGTATGCCTTGAAGATCTGCAAAAGATTGATTGTAAAGGAATTTATAAACGCTCAATATTCGATACTCGTGTGCTCTCAAATATCGAACCACAAAACCTGAAAAAGGAAACACCGGCACTGTTTTCTGAACTGAGCGATTTTTTAAAAATATTTCCGGATTTTCTCTAAGAAGCACGAATCCATTTCCGCTTACTCTCAGTGATATGCAAATGGTCTATATGAACGAAATTAAGTTCGCTCGAATGCCGAAAACTAGCATGCGGCACCAAGAGGCAGCGGGGCGATTTTTTGATAGAGTGAGCGCTCGCATTAGTCTACACACGTTAACAATAGGTTCAATATAAATTTTTCTTTCCCTGTCTCGCCGCATGAAAACGCAAATGATCTCCTCAAGGTGGAGTTCGCTGCAAGTACAAGCATTCAGATTCATAATAGTTGGAAGTCACTGCGTGCGATTAGAATTTCTCGATTCCCGTCTTCTGCGCAGGCAAAGCGCGCTGCACTTCTAAACGTGGAAGGGAACTTTCCTCTTGCCCACCACTTCTTTCCATTTCGATGACGGCCCATATTTCGATAATGGACATAAACAATATGAACAAGGGCGCAAACGTTTGATACAAGTGGGAATCGTATTGATATTTCCTAAATGGAGAGAGGTTCGCAAAAATTTCAAACTCGACAAAGGGATGGTTGATCTTGGCATGAGCTCACTGAAACACCCAGAAAGCCAATTTGCGAGAACTTTCTTTGCGGCCACATTAAGGTAATGATTTTTAATTGCTGTTGCTTTCCAGTGTTATCGAATGAATATCGATAAAGACGTCTCATGATTTGAAGGCTGATTTTTGCAATAAAACGTATTGGAAATAAGGTAGTTAAAGGTAAAGGTTTAGTTAAGCAGGAATGAAGAAGAAACCAAGTGAAAAAGGACCAGAACACGGGAAATGGTCCCTTTCTCCGTTGATTCCGCATGATGCGACTCTCAGCGTTGTGCTCTCTTCAACACTAACGCTCTCTTTCCTCTGATCACTCTCCGCGTATACAGGGGTGGTCAAAAAAAGCGACACTTTGCCCGTGGCGCACATCATCAAACCTACGTCGCACAGGGTGCGCTTTTGATGAAGCTCTAAGGCAAAATATCCCGTAGATGTTCTACCATAAGTAGAGGCAGGCCCTCCTCCACTGCCCTCACCGTCCTCAAAATATGTATGACGTCATCCTTCCATCACAGCGTTGAGCTCAGGAGGGCCTGTCGTAATCATTCCACCTCTATTACAAAATTTCTTTAACCAGTTACCTGACAGATTCATTCCTAGGGACACTAGCTCCTGACATGCAAATTCCTTACCGACTAGTATTTCATATACTGTTGTAATTGTACATGACTCGTAGACGACCACGTTGAGCTCCAACCGTGCAAAAGTTTCTCAGGGCAAACTCTTGTGATGACGTTGGTGCAGAAAGCTATTCTGACTCTAATCTGACGCTGGATATTATCTCTTCTATTAGGCAGGGACGCGGCTTGAGTTTAGCAGGTGTGATTAATAATGGCTAAAACGTGTAGTGAAGTGTCTCTTTTTCTCGTCACCGCCGTAGACTTGAGGCAAATGAACAATTAGGCTGTGGGCAACAGTTGCAAAGGGGAGGCTATGAGGGTCCGTTTCTCTCTCCATGAGGTAGTTTTCCTTCTTCGAGCTTTGCTCTCATTTTTGAATCCTTCCTGAAGGTTTTGTGAGCACAGGCATCTGCCCACGTGCACAAAGGAATGGGCAGTTTGGCTGGTGCGGGGACAACGATCAAATTAGGTAGCGACGGGTTCAGTGATAACCGTTGGTGCGAACCGAGTTTAAAAAAACCTCGAGCTTCAACACAAATTCAGGCAATGCAATGTTGAAAATAAAACTGTTCTGTTCTTGATTCTGAGTATGCTGCAAAGGGATTCGGTCTTCAGTAGCCTCTTACACAGAACACAACATAAAGGGTTTCCAGAATACATGGTGCATAGTTGTGCTCTCCGATGGACCATGGACCACAAAGACATTGTGGCAAAACTAGGCAATGGGGCGCTTGCACGAAGAGCCAACTTCTCTAGGAAACTAGCCATCAGTTAATGGCGGAAAGTAAATACCAGGTTCAGGCTTGAGCAGCTCCGTTAGGTCGGCGATTATGGATGACTTCTCCAAAGGAGCTGAAGGCAATCAACGACAACTTGTTCCGATTCATGAAGGAACTTTTTGAAAACATGTTACCGTAATACTACCATCAACGTTGGCACCATGTGTGACGAAAAGATCGTGTGTCCCTTAGGCAAAATCTCTTCTTTGCCCTTTCTTCCCGAAGGTTTTTTTGGTATCCGCGTACGGCTGCAATGTTTCTCATACCTGTTGCTACGAAGATTACGAAAAGCGCTTTCCCGAATAGTTTGACTTTAGATCGAATAATAATAAATAGAATAAAGGAGTAGAAAGAAGCTAGCGTAACCTCAATGACAGTCTGAATAATGTTGAGCGCCATGATTCTGAAAGAAAATTCAATTGAATCGTATTACGTGAAACAATTGCTGTGCACTTGACGGTAAGCGAGAGGTGTGGATTCGAATCTCTTCTGGTGAGAAAGTTGCGTTTGCAACCCAGCATTCTTGTGAAAAATCCAGTTTCTACTATAAAAAGAGCACTGCAGTGTACCCATCTAAGCTTTGGCCGCAAAAAAATATGGGATTAAACATCAATTAACTCAATCTGTTAGGGCACCTTATTTTGTTCGTATGCACTAAAACTTCTCTCACGTAGATACACGGATTAGTGGTCAGTTGAAGGGAGAGATTTTAGATACCCAAGAGACGCAGAAAGGGGCGAGGCTGCCAGGGAAGATAGGTGTGTCGACATTATAGACAGGATGGAATCGGTCTTGGTCCATCGGTGTAATAGCCCACGCCGCTTCATCCACCACTTGTGCACCAATTCTTTAGCGTTATAGGCAAACAGGTAAACAAGTA